TTAGAGTCTCACTCCAGGAACTGTATTCCAGACGTCTTTTGGTGGGAAGCTCAGCTCCCACCAAGCAATCCCTGCTTGAAAATGGCTGTGCTGAGGTGACCCACAGGGACCATGTCAGTCCCTGAATTATCACACAGCACCCTGGGTGAGAAACATCAAGTGCTCTTTGGTGTTCCTCGATCCCCACCCTGTATGAACAGATTAAATAAAAATAGCTGCATTTGGCACAGTTCTGCTATTTCATTCTTCAAATCCTAAAAGTGCACATACGCTTTGACCATTCAATAGTCCACGGTGCTGGAGCCAGGGCTTCACTGCACCGCACTGACTGGTGACACTCGAAAACCATGTGGCTGCAACCTGTGTGCACTACATCCTGGGTGCATGAGAGCCCAGTACAATCTCCAAGTCAGCCTCTTCACAAGCCACGTGCCCTACTGTCTGCAAGAGGAACATCCTCTGCCTTTTGGTGAATATATCGCTGTGTTACTTTTCCCCTTTAGCACCATGCAAACACTGCATCTTTTTTTTGATTCACACTCACTGTACAGCTTATCTATTCCCTCTGTGCTGCTATTCTAATCATGTCAATTATCCTGCCACATTTAATTCCTACTCACTACAGACAGCAACGTAATGGACATTACCACTACCATAAAACCACTCCATGAGACTATCAGTATCACCTTCATACATCATCAGAGTATTATTATTTATATTGCTGTTATATCGGGTTACTAGTCAAATACAAATCCTTTTTGCCAACCCTCCTTCTCCCAACCAGTGCCTTCCTGTTTCTCCCACATGTGACATGGGACGAACTGGTATTGCTTTGTGCCCTGGAAGCGCCAGGCAGCCATAATAAAGGAAACCAGCAGTCTCTCCTTCTGATCGGGCAGCATTCTTTCTGCCTTGAATAAGGGAACTCGTTACCGCCCAGGACTCCCAGAAGTACTGCTCTTGACCCCTGAACACAGATCCAGACCTATGGGGCTTCCCCACCAACTCCAACTCCTTTCACCAACCCCTGCTCACCCTTCAAGGCCTATGGTGGGAGGGGAAAGGCAGGACAGAGTGCCAGTCAAGAGGATAACCCTTCCCCTACTCCATTCTCCCTTCTCCTGTCACCGATTTCTGACCGCTGTCGATCCTATCAGGGGTCCATAAAGCGAGGAGGACTCTGGCCCGAGAGAGGGGGGTAGGGGTTAGGCAAACAGGCCAGGGAGGCAGTTGGTTGAAATTTAACCACAATATTCTTGGTCTCTATTGTTTTGAGTGAGGCCCAATATTTCCACAGCAGGATTATAGGATCTGATTAACCATGTTAGACAACAATGCCGAGCTGGGATGGGCTTCCCCTTCCAGCTGCCAATATGAAAAAGTAAATACAACACCCAGATTTCAGAAGGCACTCCAAGCAGCCCCAGAGTCCTGGTCCCCAATTCTAACTCTGCTACTGTTTTTGGCCCCGGAGTGAGAGGAGGAAGAGTGTGGTACTGCATGCTCCTTTAACTCCTGGCCCTTGGCCCAGCAGGACAAGTAATCCGGGCACAATCTTCCCAGGTGAGTCAATGGCTGTGAGCTCCCCACACCCTGGAGTTCTTCCAGTGCCTCTTCCGGGTTCCCCTGGGCTGGCCCAGAGCCTCAGGAGCCCATGAGAGTCAGGCGAGGAGAGGCAAGCACTCATTCAAAGGGTCCAGCAGTGTGGAAAGCACAGCCAAACCTGCTGGACGCCCGACAGAGAAACTGAGTGTGGGTATGGCTTAACAGGTTGGAAGAGCAATTGAATCTTTGCTGGAATGCTTTGGAAGTCATGCTACCTAATGATTTCCCCTGTGCCAGGGTAGAGACATGAGACCCCAGAACCTAGGAGAAGTAGAAAGGGCCACCAAAACAAAATCTTAGGAGATGAGGAAGTATTCCTCAAGGGTCTGGAATGAGAGATGGAGGGAAGATGGGCTTGTGGTTCCTCAAGTAGAGAGGGATTCCCTCAGGTTCCTTTCTCTCACACACCTCATACCTCCCATTAGGGCTGGATCTTTGGAGGCCCTGTCCAAAAGAGAAGACAGACAGACAGACAGACAGATGATAGATAGATAGATAGATAGATAGATAGATAGATAGATGATAGATAGATGGATGATAGATAGATGATAGATTGATGATAGATAGATAGATAGATAGATGATAGATAGATAGACAGATAGATAGATCGATAGATGATAGATAGATCGATGGATAGATAGCAATAGAAGCCTTCAACAAGAATGCCCAGTAGCAGCTTCCAGGAGGTCTTAGAAAAAACCCTCCCTCCAAAGCATGGGCCCCCTTCTCGGTATCTAAGTGCCTGGCATAATCCATTACAATTTTGTGAGCCACAGGTTGACTGACGTTGGTAACGGAGACTAGGAACCAAGGACCCTGAGCTCGGAGTGTGGTGGTTTCCTTGTCGTATGTCACTTCTTTTATACAGTTTCTTCTTCGGGAAAATTCAAAGATAGAAAAACGTTAGAGCAGCTTAGAAAAGTATTTCCTGTTGTGTCAAAACCCAGTTAACAAAACTGGGAGAAAACGAGGGACATCATAATTGGAGAGAAAAAAATGCCCTGGTGAAATTGTCAAGAATGAGATGAAATCAGGACCAGGAGAAGAGACACGACCTTTTACGCCCTCTCCTTCCGCCATCTTTGTATGGAGAATAATGCATGGGGCTCCTGCTTATCTCCAGAGGGCCAGGGCAAAGAAGGACGTAAAGGCTTTGGAAAAGGGGAGATTTTAGTGAATAGGAAGGCAAGAAAAGGAGTTCAGATGTACCACAGGATAAAATTAAGCAGGAGGGCTGAGTATGCAGGAGACCTGAGTATCTCACTACGGGGGACCTGCATCAAGGCTCTTGATCTGACAGGGAGAGATTCTTGCCAAGTCCAGTGCAAAGGAGCACAGATTTCACTCTTTTGCCACCTTATACCCTGAGAATTCCAGAGTGAGCTCCTCAGGGTTCAGTATGAAGATGGAGACTAGAGGCTCCTTCCTCCTTTCTCAATAAGTTTACCATCCTTTGGACACACTCTTTGATCTGGGGGACTGGCTAACTGTCACAGGAGAAAAGAGAATGACCCTTGTGAGATTTTCCAGGACCCAGGTTGAGCTCAGACTTCAAGGACTGCTAGGAAAGGCCTCTGTGAGGCCTGAGTAAAGAAGGTGCTGCCCAGCTGGAGTGCTAAGGATGAAGATTTCTCTTCCAGCAAAGAGCTGGCCAGTTCGGACTGTGGGGGAAGGGTGAGCCGGCCAGCCAGGCCAAGTAGGCCTTGCAGCCTAGGTGGCGCTATTTCTCTACTTTTTAGGTGAAGTTCCTGCAGGAACTTCCTCGAGGTCTCTAGTCCTGCTCCTGGTTTGCTGGCTTGCTCGTGTAAACCACCTTATATTATTTTTTTTTCTAAAAATACTCCAAAGCAATTGAAAGAGTCCCTTCTCCCACCAGCCAGCCCTGGCCCCAGCCCCGGCCCCGGGGAGCGGGCGGGTAGGCGGGGAGGTGGGCCACTGCTTTATTAAACACAGGGAAAACTAATATTTACGGAATAAAATTTATGGAGCAGCCACGAGAATTCGACCCTTTTATGTGCATTTGGAGTGGGGGTTGGGCCAGGCTGGGGGCCTGGGGAGGGGCCCAAGCCAGGGGGCAGGGCTGGAATACAGCCTGGTTAGGCCAAGTTGTCAAGGCAGGGATTTCCCTGGGACGAAAGATTCTCAACCACCACCCCTAGGTTTGGGGGGGTAAGAGCTTCAGGGCAAGAATGCCTGAGGCAGGGCCTCTGGAAGCAATGTTTATGGAAGGATGTGTTTGGGCAATATCCCCATGGAGACAGCAACCTTTGGGGATACAGTGGGCAGTGGATGGGGAGGTCATTAGGCATATTCTTACTTAACCTTTTTAAAAAGTACATTCTTTTGAAGAACATGAAAAAAGTTATGCTCTTAGGAGTTTACTTATAATTTTGGGGTGATTCACAAACCCCTGATCCCCCTATGATTAAAAAGTCCTGCTCTAGAGACTGTGCTCTCAAGGTAGAAGGATTATCCAGGTTTAAAAAACAAACAAACATATTTTCTTCCAGCTTGCTGGGAAAGTTTCCATTTTCCATGTGGTCTCATATCTCGTAGATCCTAAAATCTGGCTATTTAAATTACAGCATAAAGATGCCTGGCTGGTGTGGCTCAGTGGCTGAGCGTCGACCCATGCACCAAGAGGTCACCAGTTCAATTCCGGGTCAGGGCACAGGCCCAGGCTGTGGGCCTGATCCCCATTAGGAGGCATGCAGGAGGCGGCCAATCAATGTTTTCTCTCATCAATGTTTCTCTCTCTCTCTCCCTCTCACTTCCTCTTTCTCTCTCTCAAATCAATAAAGAAAATTAATAAATAAAATAAATTATACCAAAAAGAAACCAAAGAACAAAATGAGATTGTTTTTACTTGGTTTCCAATTCATTTCAATGACAGTCACGGCCGTGGGGTACACCCTAGGACTTTGTGGTCTGGAGGTAAAGGAAGTTATCAGCAACAACTGGATGGGCCCTGGTGCAGCTCTCAGACTCTGCCAGCAGGTAAGGACATGGGGATAGGTCCTGCAGTCCTTCAAGTTTCCTGCCTTGAAGAACAATGATGAGTGGAACATCCTACTGAAAGTAGGTAGGGTCATAGGATGTTACAGTGGAAGATAAAAAAGGTCCTGACATCCTGGAAAATGTTTTCAGTAATGTACAGAATGATGAATTCAGCTGTCTGGGTTCAAATTCTGGCTGTAACTTACTAGCTGTGGGACCTTTGATAAGCCACTTAATCTCTTTAAGACTCCATTTCCTAGTGGGTTAACAGTATCTTCCTCATATGATGCTGTGGGGATTCAATGGCAGGCACATATTAATCTGGTATACATTGACTGCTCAAAAAATGTTATTACTGTTGTTCTCATTATAATCATTATTATTTTATTATTGCTTGGATTGTCCACTCTTCCATGACTTGAGGACAGAAACACCAGTCCCAGCTAGTGAGGATATGAGGGTGAGGAAGCATTTGACCACCATAGGTAAAAACAAAAACAAAAACAAAAACAGAAAAGGCCTCTGTGGGTTCTGCCCCTGACCCCTTTCTCTACCTAACACTCCCAGTTAACACCTGAGTTCTATTTTCCTTCCTGTCTCTCCAAGGTAGAGCTTCAGATGGTTTACCTATATTGGAAAACCTAGCAGAGAAGGCCAAGGGACTTTGCCAATCCTGGTCTGCTAAATCTCACCAGATCTGTGCAAAGAGATGACTTTCTAAATATCTAAGATTCTGCCTATCTCGTACAGCCTTTATGACTTTTCTTGCTAAGCACTATTCATTCTATTGGTCAATTACGTTGTCTCACAAACTACTGTGGCCATTTCCTGTTCCCTGTCATCTTATCTTTCCTAGTTCTTCTAGTTATTACGTTATTTGAAGTGGAGTGAAGGATGGGAAGGTAAAATTCCTTTTCCTCCCACTCCAGTGGGAAACTCCCTTGACCCTACTGTTTGAAGCTCTTTGTGATTTCAGTCTCATATTGTGATTTAATCTGTTGTCTATGCCTTAGAAAGAGACAAAAAACAAAAAGAAACAAAACCACACCACATCAATTAGGCAAAGAAAAGCATAGGCTATTTGTTCTGCATTGTGCCCACCATGGAGACAATTCTCAAGATCAAAGTTTCCACATGGAGGCTTAGCACAGGCCACAATAGAGATTCATAAGAAGAACCTGAAGGACTGGACTGAGGGCCTAGACTGTATCCAGAGACAACAGTGCGGTGGGATCCAGTAAAGTGAAGTGGGTCATGTGTCCTAGTGAATAAGTACTCTCAAAAGCAGGGGAGTGTGAGTGGTTTTTGTTCCACGCTAAAGAGAGAAATGGGTCTCTGAGGAGCACCTGGAATTGGCCAGGGACTCTTGAGAAAGACAAACAAGGCTTCCTAAGCGTGTTGTGCCTTTTTGTTGACTTGTCTTATACACCTAAAGTCCATGGTAGGGTCCTGGTTTAAAGAACCTTCACCAAAAAGGAGGAGGATATGAGATTCCCAGAGACTGATTTCCCTTTAATAGGGAAGGCCAATGCCCGATGGGTTGGAGCCAAGATTCCCTCAGTTAATAGCACCCATTTCAGGTGGCCTGTGAACATGAGCTTCAGTGCTCTTGCCTCTGACTATGTAACTGTCAGAGATCCTGCTGCCACTGGAGCTCCTTTCAAGGTGGCACCAGGAAGCTGTTCTCCGGCTCCATCCTCGGCAGCTGAAACAGTGACACGTCAACTGAAGAGCCCCCTTAGCTTCTTCCTCTTGACCTTGGATAGCTGAGGTCTCTTCACAGGGCCTGAAGTACACTAGGGAAAAACAAATTAATAGGGGTTTGAGCAGTTCCACTTCAGTTAGGAAAGGACCTTTGTTCCTCCCATGGCTCTGGATAGGATGAGGCCTTCTTGAGGTGGCTGATAAATGTTTTGGAGTCTATGTCAGGCAGTGAATGTGATATAAGACCCTACACAGGAGATGCATATATCCCTTCTCTTCCAGGGAACAACCTCATAGACCATCACTGGAAGTGGATAAGGTAGAAAAGAAGTCATGGTCCATTATTTGGTACAAGATCTGCAGAGAGAACATGTAAAAACTATGACTCTGTTTAGAAAGCCACAATTTGGAAGCCTAGTGACAAATATCCCTCAATAATATTAAAGCAGCATCAACTAGGTGGCAATCCCAGGGACCACAGACTTGGGGACTATAGGTATGGACTCCTCCAATGCTCAGAATGCCATCCAGGAAGCTGCTCATGACTCACCGGGGGCTCTCTGTCAGGCACTGGGAGGGATGGTGCTGAGAAAACCGGCTCTTCTGGCTGGTTTAGAAGTTGGCTATCAGGTCCTTGTGAGGAGGCACTACTTGAAGTTTGAGGATCTCCTGAAATCAGAAAGATCAAGGGCAGACAGTGGTAAATGCCTTCTTCTTACCAAGAAGACATTAGAATTTACCAAGCATTCTGACAAAGGCCAGGGTTGGTACTAATAAATGAACAGGCAGAAGTAGCCACAAATCCAACTCCCAGCTGACTTTCAAAAATCCCTGTTTTTACTCTGAAGATTCCCTAAGCTCGCTTTCACTAGGTAGGAAAAGAGCTTCCTTGACTCAAATAGACAACTGTTCTTTTACACATTTCCTGACATGTTTCAGGCAGGGAGATTCATCTTTCTCCTGGTTCTCTTACTAATTCTCCTAAGCACCTAGATCAGTTTAATAGAACTTTCTGCAATGATGGTCTTTATTTCCTCTGTCCAATTTGGTAGCCACTAGCGGCTGTTGAGCATTTGAAATGTGGCTAGAGCAAATGGGGAAATACAATGTCCATTTTATTTAATTTTTATTAAATAGTCCCAAGTAGCTAGAGCTATCACAAACCTAGACTGCACAAACCTAGACCCTAACTCTAACCCCAGGGAAACCAAGTTCCCTGGAGCTACTCACCGGCATTTTGATGCTGCTGCCTCACTTGGCCCTCTTGTCTGGTGACTGCCACATACAGATTCTGCAGATCTGTGACAAAGGCTCTTCCATCACCAACACTGCATACCTCTGGAAGTTTCTATCAGGAGAGGAGATGCTGTCATTGATTACAATGTATTGCCAGAGAAAAGGAACTTGATATTCCACTGGCAGAACTGGCATCAACCCCGAAAGAATTTCTATAAAGAAGTCAGATCCCATAGAGGGCACCCATATCCAAGCCTGTTGGGACCAATACAAAGACCTCTTAGGAAATCTCCTCTGAAAGGCCATTTCCAAAGGTGTATCATTATTTCCCCCAATATTTAGGTCTATTACATTTTCCCATGAATACTCCATAGGCCTCTAGGCTCTTTCTTTTAAAAGGATGATCTCTTAGCCCTGGCCGGTTTGGCTCAGCGGTTAGAGCGTCGGCCTGCGGTCCAGAGAGACCCGGGTTCGGTTCCCGCTAAGGGCGCGTACCTCGGTTGCAGTTTGTCCCCGGCCTTGGTTGGTCGTGCGGGTGGCAGCCACTCGATGTGTCCCTTTCACGTCGATGTTTCTCGCTCTCTCTCTCTTCCTCTCCCTCCCTCCCACTCTATCTGAACAAAAAAAAAAATGGAAAAATGTCCTCAGGTGAGAATAAAAAAAAAAAAAAAAGGATAATCTCTTAGAGGACTGTTTTAGGAAACCACTGTCCCTTAATTGTTCCTGAATTGTACAGATTCCTATTCGAATTAAATTCACTCCTAAACCTCCATCCTAGAGAGAAAAATGTTGAGTGAGGGGTCCAGGATGGGAGAGTGAGGGCAATATGGGAATGACAGACTGAGGGACAAAAAAAATTATGAAGCTGTGATGTTCAGTCAGAGGAGAAAGGAGAAGTAAAATGTAGAAAGCTTGGCAGGCTAACCTGAAATTTTTATATTCCCTACCATAATCCCACTGTGCTTTGTTCTAATCCATGAACTCGCAATGGTGAATATCTCCCCCAAGGGGGTGAATATTAGTTCTTGAGGGGTAAAAAAAAATTTTTTTAATTTTTGTTAATCCTCACCTGAGGATAGTTTCCATTGATTTTTGTTAGATAGAGTAGAAAGGAGGGAGGGAGAGAGGAAGAGAGAGAGAGAGAGAGAGAGAGAGAGAGAGAGAGAGAAACATCGATGTGAGAGAGACACTTAGATTGGTTGGCTCTTGCACAGCCATGGTCAGGGTAATTGGGCCTGGGGATCAAACCTGAAACCCAGGTATGTGCCCTTGACCGGGAATTGAACCTGAGACACATGGGTCCATGGGTCGATGCTCTAACCGCTGGGCCCAACTGGCCGGGGAAAAATCTTACTGTTTTAAAGTATAAAGCACAGACATACATAAACATAAACAGAATTTTGGTATATTTCTGATGTTAAAATTTCCTGAGGGGAAGGTGATTAGGATAAAGGTCTTAAAATGTTCTTTAGGGAGGTGATAATGAAAAAAAAAAAATTGAGAAACATTGCTATAATTGCATTATATCTATGTTTCCTTCAATCCAGAATGAACTGTATGGATTTATTTATATTCACAGCAAAATGCTTTGCCTAGTTTGACTTTCATATATTGGCTGAACTGAGGTGAAATAATGCTGAAGATTGAAGAAAGTGCAATCAAAATGAGATGAAAGAGTATGGTATCCGGTGTTCCCAAACCTGGCTGCACTTAAGCATCTTGGAAAGGGCCCAGAACTACTTCATCTGTCCCTATGCATGCAAATTGTTATGGTTCCCAGCCAAGTTAGCAGGTCTCGAAGGAAGCCATGCCAGCAGCTCATATGGGAACCAACCCAAGAATCCTGAATAGGCCCATATCTCTTGTCAAGGGCACTTTCTCTGGGCTGGAAGGGCATACATTTCTGAAAACCCACTGTGGGAGAATGATGGAAGAGAGAAAGAGGGAGAAGCAGTGAAGTAATTGCTGAACCATGGTCAAGATTATAGTTATCTTTCTCTGAGCATGGTAGTAGCTGAAAAACTTGTTGATCCCAGAAAATGTAACATACATTTCTATTCCAACCCAATTCGCACCATAAAGATTATACCAGTCTTGGACTTTCACTGGAAACCACAGACAATGAATCGGAAGCCACGAGAGCAAACTTTACTTCTAGCCAGTAATCACACTAGGAGCAAAACAGCTCTCTTTGGCAGCATTACCTGAGGAATGAACTGAAACAGAAAAGGCCAACTCAACTATCAGGCCATGCACCTCCACCTCACCTCACTCTCCTTCCCGGTTCAGCTCTCCAATCCCCAAGCCACCTCCTCCCACAGAAGGTCCTCTACTCCACAGCCGGAGAACGCTGACAGGGGAGAGGCCAACAGTGTTCCCTTCCTTTCATCTCATGTCTCTAGGATCTCCCTTCATTTTGCTCAAGATGTGGCCTCTCTTTGCATCATCCACACATAGCTCGGTTGGCACTATACTGTTTGTACAAACGGACTAGGCACAATCTAGGCAGTTCAGGGTGATCTCCTCTGCTCCTCCAGACTCATCACTTTTCCAGGGTGATCTTTAGCCAGGCTATTTAGTCTCAAAATGAAGTGCCAGAACTGAAAGGCCACTAAAGCCAGTGTTGTCCTGGACCTAAGTCCAGATCTAGAAGCTATATATTAGCCCTCCCTCTATCCTTCCCCTTCTCAGAGAGGTCTGCTCCTACAGTTGCTGCCAAAGTACTAGGAAAAGAATAGTGGTCTGTTTGCTAGATACTTTTCTAAGTATTTACTATATTAACCCATTCTGTCTTATTCACTGTTATTTCCTTGGCACCTAGAACAAACTGGCCCATAGTAGGGGAGCAATAACTATTTGTGAATGAATGAACACGGTAGGCAACAGTATGCCCCATTTCCTTGAGGAAGCCATAGCTAGTACATGGTAGAACAGGATTAGATCTGAACAGTCTGGCCTCAGGGCCCACAAACATAATGACTACCCTACTTACTTCTCTAAACAGCAGAATTTTAATTAAAAAGGAAATACAGCCTTTCCCAGGATCACAGCCCTCAATCCCTCACATCATAGATCATCTGCCTATATTCCATCCAGCCCAGCAACAAGCTCCCTCAGGTGATAAGAACAAAGTGAACAGACAGAAAAGGGGCAGCTGGTCCTACCTGGAAGGCTCAGGGGCTGAAAGGCCATACCCTTAATCTTATTCTAGCTGTTCCCTGTCATCACGGATTCTTTAGGCATCATCTGCAGAGTATGCTAGGGAAGAGAGGTGGAGAGGCCGGAGTCAGAGCAGGAGAAACTTTAGCTCCCTGCCCAGGACAATGGTAGGGGTGAGCTGGGGCGGGTGGCAGAGATCAAAGGGAGAATGCTGGAGTCAAGACTATGAAAAGCAAATAACAGTTCCCCTGCTGTAAGTGTGACTGATCCAGGAGCAAGGTGTACCAGCCACAAAGCGGGTCACTGCCCAGAGTGGGGAGGGGAAGAATACTGTGTAATTTGTTCTACTGTATAATATGTTCATCTGATTAACCAGAATCAATTCTACTCAGCTAAAAAGGTGAGACTCTACCATGTGCCAAGCCCTGCAGGATGGAGGGTGGGGAAATGAACGCATCAGTCCCTTCCTCCTCAGAACAGGAATAAGTCAGAGTCCCTGCCTCAAAGGGAGATAGAAAGATATATATAAATATATATATATTTAGGTGTTAGGCTATAACAGAATTATAAACAAAGGACAATAGGAACTCAGAGAAGAAAGGGACACATTTTGACTGAGAGTCTTCAGAAAGCTTCGGAGGTGGGGACATCAAGTTAAGCCCTGTAAGGTTAGACTTTGAATGCACGGGAAGTTTCTGAGGCACAAAGGTATGAAAAGACAGGGTATACCGACATATCTCATGGGAAATGAGACCAGAAGGCTAAATTCGTATCCACCAGACTGCAAAGGACTTCGCATTCTGAATTAGGGATCTGCCTGTGGGAATTTCCTTTTGTTTTATAAAGTGGCTTTCTCTATGATCCAACTGCCTGTCAAGGCTTTCTTGGCTCCAAACTAATATTGATACAAAGATGAGGAATCAGAAGCTTCCTCTAGGTTTCCCTTTTTAGTCTTTCTGTTATATCTATGTAAACTCATTTAATACTTCACCACTTACTGCTAGGACTGTGGCATTTCAATAGTCACAGGAGCTATATTATTCTTCTGTCTCCAAGGGTGATTTTACTCTCTCATCTCCAATCCACTAGGACTTTAGCCTCTGCTGTACAGCCATTTCAGAAGCTTTAAGAAGACCAAAGTTACAGAAATCCTACAGGGCATTTTATTTCCTCTCCTGTCCCTATTGCAGTCCATCTTGGTACTGAGGGCGCACGGTCCCCTCTCAGCGCTAACTCCTATCTCCATCAAACCTAAAATTCACTCCCCGTGGTCCAGGAATCTTGACTCCCTCCAGGAGGGAGGGATCTGTTGGTGAGATCCCAATGCCACTTTAACTAGAAATAAGAGGTCTGATCCCACCCCACCCCCATCTCATCTCTACCTTCCTGTGGGGCTGTTTCAGAAAAGAAACCTTTAGGATGCTGGGAATGAAAATGCTGGATGCTGATACACTGCTCACCTACTCAATATAGAACCACAGGCTGAGGATACAGATTTAAAAGAAGAAAAGGGGGAAATGAGCAAACCGGAGTTCCCCAGTATCAGCCGTGAGCAGGTCTTTGGTGCTTGTACCAGCCCCCGAAGCTGGTACAGCCCAAGGCACTGACACTGTCACAATGTCACGACTGCAGGACAGGTTCCCAACATGTGACTTCCTAAGCGTAAAAACTCCTCTCCTGCCTCTTGCAACCTGGTAAACTGTGCTGGTACTGGATACAAACTTCTTTTCTAGGGAGCCCAAGTCTCAGTTTAGGAAATTGTCATCAGCTCCCATTAGGGGTAAGGGCACATTGGAAAACTCTTCTAAGGTCTCAAATTACCAAAGGGTTACCAAGATAAATAGAAAGGAACAAGGAAAATGTTTTAGGAAGGGGGCTCTAATGAGAAACACTCTTCAAGAAATAGAACCCTCCCCCATCCGTTCACCAAATATTTACCACCTACAGTGTTCA